CGGTGTGTTCCACTATAGACGTCATAAAAGCTTATTAGTATTAAATAAATTACTAATAAAAATTCTTTATATGTCTGTTTGGTTCCACCTATAGACGTATAAATATAATACTAAATAAATATAATATAAACTCCTTGTTAATGTTGTTCCACCCTATAGACTATAAACGTACTCAATACGTAAAAATCATAAATTAAATCATAAATTATCTATATCATGCTCGTTGGTTCCACCCAGACATTATAAAATAGTAATAGGTAAATAAATATAAATACTCAAATATCTTTATTACATGTCTGTTCGGTCTCCACCTAGTAGACGTAATAAGAATTAATATAAATAAATAAATGATCCAATATAGATTAAATATCCTTTATATGTCGGTTGGTCACCTGATAGACGTATAACAAATATTAATATAAATAAATTATAGACGTTATATATATCTTGTATTATGTCTGTTGGGTTCCGACCACGTATAGACGCTATAATCATTGAATTATCAGAGCTAAATCATAAGTAATATAATTATCTTTACTTACTGGTCTGTTGTCCACCTATAGACGGTATAAAACCGTATAATATAACATAAATAGTGGATATAAATATTAAATATCTTAGTATGTCTGTTGCGTTCCACCTAATAGGAATATAAATAATTATCAATTATAAATAAATATAAATATAAGTATCTTTATTATGTCTGTCTCGTTCCACCTATAGACTTAAAATTATAATATAAATAAGATAAATATTATATATCTTTGATATGTCTGTGGTTTCCACCTATAGACGTATATATAATATAAATAAAATATAAATATAAATATCTTAATGTCTGTTGGTTCCACCATAGACGTAGTAAGAATACAGATAGTAAATAAAATAAATATATAGTATCTTTATATGTCTGTTGGTTCGCCACCTATAGAGCGTATAAAATGATAATATGACATAAATGATAAATATAGCAATATAAATATCTGTTATTATGTCTGGTTGGTTCCACCTATGACGACGTATAAAATATAATATAAATTAAATATAAATACTTAAATATCCTTTATTATGTCGTGTTGGTATCCAGCCTTCATAGACGTAGTAAATTATATAAATAATATAAATATCAAACTATCTATATGTCTGTTGGGTTCACGCCTATAGACGATAAAATATAATATAAATAATATAAATATAAATATCTTTATAGTGTCTGTTGGTTCACCTATAGACGTATAAAAATAATATAAAAAATATAAATGAACAATATCTTTATTATGGTCTGCTTGGTTCACACTCCTATAGACGTATAAAATATAATATAACATACAATAATAAATATACAATATCTTTCAGTTATGTCTGTTGGTCCACCTATAGACGTATAACAATAATAAGGTATAAATAAATACTAAATATAAACTATTGCTTTATTATGTCTGTTGGTTTCCACGCTGATAGACGTATAAACATAATATTGGAATAAATATAAATATAAATATCTTTTATTATGTCTGTTGAGTTCCCCTCATAGACGTATTAAAATATATAATAAATAAATATAAATATAAATATCTCTTCATCATGTCTGTTGGTTCCCACCTACTAGACGTATGACATTTCACCGGAAGCAGTGCGCGAAAATGGTCACGAAGAAGCAGCAGCAGCCACTTCCTCTTCCGGGTCGCGCATTAGAAACGTCGTGTGAACGTGAACGGCGCGACTAAACAGAAAGTTTCTACAGAAAACTTAAAGCTGTGAGTGTTTTACGCTTCTTTAACTAAACCCTCTCTGTTCGCCCTTTACAGCGTGAGCGGCCCGACAGGGGATAAAGGCAGAATCGAGAGGTTTGTGCGCTGAATGAAGCAGCTATGTCGCTGTTGTTGGTAGCTCGCAGACAGCAGTGTGCTAGCGGTAACTAGCCGCGGACTTTAGGCGGATGTAATTGAGTTTAGCTCGCTTGCTGCTATTGGTTAGCATCGGGGGCACCGGTCTGAACACTGCAGCAGTCAGTTGAGACACAGCAGCATGTTTTAGGGGGCTGACTGTGTGAATTGGTTTTGTGCGAGTGAGAAACTGGACGCTTGTGTTTGTGCGGCTGTAAGTGGGTATGAGTGAGACAGCTGGGGGGGTTTCTCAGTGTATATGAATGATGGTGCTATGTGTTAAATGTTGTGATGTTCTGCAGGATTGGAGGATGTCTCTTCCTAAACGGGAGATGGAGGAGTTGAGGCCATGGGTGGAGCGCACTGTGAAGAAGGTGCTGGGTTTCTCGGAGCCCACTGTGGTTACTGCAGCCCTGCACTGTGTTGGAAAGGGGCTGGACAAAAGGAAGACCATAGGTAACTGCAGTGGCTGTTTGAGACCTGCTGTGTTTTATCTGTATACATGAAAGATTGAGTCGAGATCCAGTTAGGACAGGGACTGAAGTAAACACTTGTGATCAGTAAGGCTTCATAACCATTAATCGTTTTATCGGTATGAAAGACGGAGCTCTGGTTAAACAGAAAAAAAGGCCAAAGGATGATTAAAAAAGCCTTTCGATTAGATTAGACACATAATTCACAAAATATTAGTAATTTTTCACAAGAATAAAATGTTCATCTTGCCTTTTCACACTACAAGTTGCCAACAATCCAATATATTAAAGATACATATGAATGCAGTATGGTGCACTGAATATGATGCTCTGCAGTTCATTATGGCGCAGGCAGTCTGATTTAATTTCTAATTAAGCAGCTTGAGAAACAGTTTAAAGTATACAATTATTGGCCACATTTCTAAATAATAAAGGCATAGGGCCTAAACTATCAGCTTTTACAGATGCAAAGATTTTAGAAACAATACATCCCAATTTACCCCAAAATTGCAATTGGATCTTGAATGTTTATGCCGGTGCACTGATGCAAATCCTTAATTTACTCAGGTTATTGCAGACATCAGGTTGTTGTGTATCTTGTAAATGCTTTAGCTAAAATATCAGCTTAATTGTGGTATTTATTAAATGTTTTTTCTGTGCATTTAAAGTGGCGAGGTTTAGATATGGTCATTTAATTGCGGCAATGAACATCAAAGTACTGATGGCTTTAAATTATTTAACACTCATTCCCACCTCAGACCAGCTGCGTCCCTTCCTCGATGACTCTGCTGGAGGTTTTGTGGAGCGTCTTTTTGAAGCGTTGGAAGAAAGCCGGAGCGCCCGTGGCAACAAAGGAGGAGGAGAAAAGCACCGCAAGAGAGACCTTAAAGTAAGTAAACTTAAACTATCAACTTTTTATTGTTACTGCAAAGTGAAATATTTAGACCTAATGCTAATCCATTTGACTATAAATAACACTGACCATATTTACATCTGTTATTGCAAAGTTAAGAGGCCAGGAAAGAAGAAAAAGCCTATAATGCATGTTTAGACTGGTAGTCTGTTTACTTGTGTTGTGAAGATTATTGATGTGTGTGTTTGTGTGTGTTGATTAAAGGTGACATGTGATATTGATGTCTCTGTTTTGGTTGGTTGGTTTCAGGATGTATTTGGCGATGAGGCTGAAACCGGTGCAAAGCGAGAAGCTCCGGAGCCAGGAGATGGGACGGTTGCTAAGCGTAAACGAGTTCCGCGCTTCGAGGAGGTGGAGGAGCCTGAGGTCATACCTGGACCTCCATCTGAGAGCCCTGGCATGCTCACCAAAATGCAGGTATGAGATTATGTCCTCAGTGACTGATATATAATTGTCCCTAAATGTGTTGTTTTTGAGTTTTTACTGGCAAACATTTTGCATTTACTAACCTTTCCTTCTGTGTTATTAGATCAAACAGATGATGGAAGCAGCCACAAAACAGATAGAAGAGAGGAAGAAACAACTGAGCTTTTCCTCTCCCGTCCCTCCTTCACCAGTAATGACATTACCTTTTTTTTCTTTTCAAAAAAATCAAGCATAGTTAAAAGACAAGTATCAGTAATTTCAGGCAGTGCAATCAATGTGACACCGCTCTAATTTCTCCCTGATTTTAGCGGTTGCCCCTTCCCACACCACAGTCACAAATGGAAAACCTCCCAGTGTCTCGGCTTCTTGGCACTCCTGCTGCTGCAGCTGCAAGCGGTGGCTCATCTATCGCCCCCTCCCAGGCTGCCAGCTTCATGAATGATGCTATCGAGAAGGCCCGCAAGGCTGCTGAGCTGCAGGCCCGCATCCAGTCCCAGTTAGCAATGAAACCTGGTATCCTCGGAGCCTTGGGGAACACTGGGCCTCACAACCTAGTGGCACTAGCTAATCTACATGCTATGGGAATTGCCCCACCGTGAGTAATGTCACAGCATATAGGATTTTGGAATTTAAAGTGGAAAAACACATGGGGGCACATGGTGTCTTTTCATTGATGAGGCAGTGTAAAAGACTCCTTTCTCTGTGTGTCTCTTTTATAGGAAGGTTGAAGCCAAGGAGGTGAATAAGCCGACGCCTCTTATTCTGGATGACAAGGGCAGAACTGTAGACGCCAGCGGAAAAGAGGTTGAACTCACACACCGTATGCCCACACTCAAAGGTATGTGGACAGTGGTTAAATACTTCAATTCAATTCAATTAAATGTTATTTGTGTAGCGCCAATTCCTAACAGAAGTTATCTCAGGACACTTTTCAAATAGAGCAGTTCTAGACCGTACTTATTATAACATTACATAACTTGTACACACATACAATCTTAATTTTGTTTTTGTGGCCTAATGAAATTTATTTTTCTATGTAGCGAACATTCGAGCGGTAAAGAGGGAGCAGTTCCGTCAGCAGCTGAAGGAGAAACCTGGCGATGACTTGGAGTCCACATCCTACTTCGACCAACGTGTGTTTATTACACCAGCTCAGCGCCCCCGCAGGGCCTTCAAATTCCACGATCAGGGGCGCTTTGAGAAGATTGCACAGAGAATTAGAACTAAGGTGGGATTCGACTGCTAAACTTGGACCAGACTTAAAATTAAAACACGGTTAGAAGCAACTTTTCTTAACATGTCTTTTGTCCATCCTGCATTGTTCTTGACCTCAACCAGGCCCAGTTAGAACGGTTGCAATGTGAGATTGCTCAGGCAGCAAAGAAGACAGGAATCCAGGCATCCACCAAGCTGGCACTGATTGCCCCCAAGAAAGAGATTGGAGAAGGGGAGGTCCCCCACATTGAGTGGTGGGACTCCTTCATCCTGCCCTCCAACATAGACATGTAAGAAACTACACCCAGGAACTTAAGCACTTAGTATTCATTTATTATTAATATTAATTCATCTTTATGTCCATAAATAATTATGCAGATTTTTTTTTAAGTATTGTAGTTAACTGACATGTTTTCCCTCTTTATTTTATGAAGAACACCAGACACAAAATTTGAAGGGTTGGAGCTCTTTGGTGTGACCAACCTGGTGGAACATCCTGCCCAAATTAGCCCTCCGGGTAAGTGTGTTGATGGTAAAAAGTCTGCGCACTGGTAAAGCTGCTACCATAGTATGTGTCAAACACTCAGATAAATACAAACTGGTGAAATTTACCGTTGATTACTTTTTGAAAATTAAGTCTGATTTAACAAAATGTGAAAATATACAATTCATCATGATCAGTACTGTTCCCAATTGTCCAATGATTGTACTGCAGACTGCAACTATCTCCTCAATATGCATATATAGTTGCCTGCTCTAATTTTTAAAAGCAATCATACATACCTACATAGAGGTTGGCATGCTAACAATTTAAGATCAAGATTGTTATCTAAGGCATCTACGATCTACTTTTCAGGCTTATAGAGATTGCAGTATTAAATACTATAATTGTGCAGTTATTAAGGTATACCAGGGTGTTTAGAAATCTTGATGATATGATTTTTATTCCCTTTTAAGGTACAGACTCTTATCTTTGTGTTGGATTGATCATATTGTGACGTTTAGGTTGCTTATTTTCTGTGTCCTCAATTCGAATTTGAGTGGGTATGTTTGCTCAAAAGTTGCTCTGTGCTTCATCTTGTAACATTAGTGGTGTTTCACATTGACTCCTTTAATAGTCTCTATGGTCGGCCCGTAAGGAGAATGAAACGCAGATTGTGCCATCAAGGAAGGTTGCAATTTAGATCTTGATTGAGACAATATTATTTTTGGCCAGACCTCCCACTGCTATACCTACATTACCCTGTCTACAAGCCATTACACACCCTATAAATGTCTTAATGGTGTGTATTTCATTACCATCTAATAATTTTCTGATTTGATGAAAATATTTTTTTTTTCTTCCTTTTTTTCCTCAGTTGACACAGATAAGCCAGTAACGCTGGGTGTATACCTGACAAAGAAAGAACAGAAGAAACTGAGAAGACAGACACGAAGGGAGGGTCAAAAAGAAGTTCAAGAGAAGGTTCGTCTTGGACTGATGCCTCCACCAGAACCCAAAGGTACCCCCTCACACAAATCAATATTATTGCAAAGTACGATAAAAAGGATTAAAGAAAATGTAACTGATGTGTCACTTTCATTTTTTTAGTACGCATCTCCAACCTGATGAGAGTGCTCGGGACAGAGGCGGTTCAGGACCCCACGAAGGTGGAGGCCCACGTCAGAGCTCAGATGGCCAAGAGACAGAAGTTAGTAACACAGTTAACCCTTCACACTGCTTGTATCTCACTCTCTCCTCATTACTTACAGTAATTTTGGACAATTTTCAATATAGCATTGTATTATAACAAAAGCTTTCTTTATTAATTGTGTCCCGTCTTTGCAGGGCTCATGAGGAGGCCAATGCAGCCCGCAAGCTCACAGCGGAGCAGAGGAAAGAGAAGAAAGTCAAGAAGTTAAAAGAAGACCTCATTAATGGAGTTCACGTCTCAGTGTACAGGTGTGCATTTGTAGGGAGACAGCACATACTGTGTTCAAATATGGGTTCAAATATACTGTATAGTGCAATATGTGTGTGTCTGTCACAGAATGTACAAGTGTGTCTAATTTAAGGACCTTACCTTCCCTCTACAGGATCCGTAACCTGCAAAATCCTGCCAAGAAGTTTAAAGTGGAGGCGAATGCCAACCAGCTGTACCTGACGGGTACAGTAGTTCTGCACAGAGATGTCAACCTTGTGGTGGTGGAGGGAGGTAAGGAACAACAAGTGCAAGTGCCAAACTAAGCCTGTCAGTACTCTCGGTTAAATTAATTGATCTGTTACACACCACAGCTGGTACTTTTAATGGCATGTGATTTCTAACAAACATTTGCTGTGAGGGGAAAATGTCTGGTAAATTCATTTTATGAAATTTTGAGATTTTGCTGATCTATATGAGTCATATATGCAGGTGAATTAGTAGAGGGATCTTTATCATCATATAATATTGTCCTTTTTATAGGCTCAATAAACAGGTGCCATAACTTTTTCACACCTCTGCAACATATTTTTATTATTTTATTGTATATTTGATAGACTTGCATCTGTTAAGTGCTCACTGATCGGCACCTTGCTGTGTATATGTTGTCAAAAATAAAAATAAATGACCGTCTCTCTGGGATTGTCATACAAGATTATAAGTACAGAAAGCTAGAAAGGACTCGGAGCAGTATTACCAAAGACAACATATTGGAGACCTAACAGCATGAACTAAATAAAATCAAGGCATGAGGAGCCCATAAAAGGAGACACCAATCACTCCTGAGTCCCTTCAGCTTTGTGATTATGACTTACAGCCTACAATGTTTTCCATTTGATCTACAGAATTATTAAGTTTGTCAAAGTTTAAGCATCTTAAACGAACCCTTTGAGTGTATGAATAGTCATTCTTGGGGTTGTTCCAAACTACTGACATCATGAACGCCTACATGGTAGTTCAAAACAGCTGCACTTCTATGAAGTTTGATGACTTCTACACTGTTTCATCTCCCCTTGAGATATTAAAGAAGTGGGATAATTAAAGTCATGCTTAAAATCTAAATTTCTCCCTCCTTTTTTAGGCCCTAAATCCCAGAAAAAGTTCAAGAAGCTGATGTTGCACAGAATCAAATGGGAGGAACACAACAGCAAAAGAGATGGTAAGAGTGACTTTCGAGTCTTGTACGTGGTGTCATGTCTGTGTGTTTATTTAAGGTATTTAAAAAGTCTTTATTGTTGATTGTCCAGATCCAGATGGTGATGATGATACAAAGAGGAACAACAAGTGCTGGTTGATTTGGGAGGTGAGCGTTCACACGTCCTGCTTCCTGCGGCAGGCTCGTGTTGTTACTTAAACATATTAAAATTAATATATTGTTGTATTTGTGGTCTCATTCAAGTTTAATGTTTTTCGTCTTTGTTCCCCAGGGCACAACTAAAGAGCGCAGTTTCGGGGAGATGAAGTTCAAGCAGTGCCCCACAGAGAGCATGGCCAGAGAACACTTCAAGAAACACGGCACAGAACACTACTGGGATCTAGCTCTCAGCAAGAGCGTGTTGGACGGATGCACAGATGACTGAATCCTGCCCCCGGAGAACACGTCATTTCAGTCAACGTCCCCTTCTACGAGCCCCCAGCCTCACAGCCAGTTGGCCCTCACTGCTGACTGTGGACAGACAGACTTAACCAAGAGACTTGACCTTAGAAAGAGGAGGAACAATAAACATGTGTGGATGTTTTTTTTGCAAGAATTTGCGACAGATCGGGGTGTGTGTGTGCGTGCATGTGTCAGTATGTGTCAGTATGTGTGTGTGCGTGTGCGTGTGTGTGTGCGCCTGCATCAGTGTTCATCTCTTTGGTGGTAGGCTATTTTGTCAGAGATCGTGTTATCTGTTATTGAATACAATCTGACAGATTGCACTGTGTGATGTAAATCACTCACCCAAGGCTTTATGTGATGATGAGAAATGGTGTCACGCTTTGTTATGACTTAACTTTTGTGATGAAATCCCAACGTACACTGATAATAATCCCTGTTTCAGTCAAGCAGTTAATACAAAACAACAACCCATCAATGAATGAATTGCACTACGGTTGTGCTAACATATTTAGAGTAAACCTGGAAGGATTCCTGGGTAATGTTACAGCATTGTTATAAGACATATTGTAGTTATTACAGGTACATTTCACAGAATTTAAAGTTTCCAAATCCATATTTTTTTTTTGTTCTTTTGGGGGAAGGAGCCAATCTTTGACTCACCTGTAGCTATATTTCTCTGTAACATTACAGTCACAGCCTTAAATAAACAACAAAATGTAACCAACTTGTGTTTGATTATTTTCCAGCTCTAACATCATATAAATGACTATTATTACGCGTTTTAAACCGCGATTTGTAAACGTTGATGTCGTTATAATAAAGTAAAAACATGGGGGCGTGTTTCTAGTCCTCATTACGAGACCTCCTTCATCCCTTCATCCTCTTCATCCTCTTCATCCTCTCACCGACCAGCAGCAGCAGAGAGCAGGAAAGATGGCGGCCGGTTCTGGGGCTGCAAGCGGCCACGGAGCTCGCAGCTCCAACGCTGCTCTGGAGGCGACTCTGGACCGGAGATTTCAAGGAGTATCCAACACTATGGAGTCGATACAGGGACTTTCAAGCTGGTGCATTGAAAACAAGAAGCACCACGGCGTTATCGTCCGCTACTGGATGAAGTGGCTCAAGAAATGTGAGTAGCTTGTCACCTGCTAGCTAGCCCACTTTAGCTAATTCAAATGTTTGTTTTTTTTATGCGTTGGCTGCGATCAGATGGCGGATAATTTAAGCCGTGGCGTTGTGTGCAGTGCAAGGCTATCCAGTGCAATCATAAAATCATTTTGGTAATTTTCTAAAGTGAATTTTTAATCTTTTAATCGACTGTTGTCACTACTTGAAATTAGCCGCTAATAGCAGCTAAGCTAACGCTAACTCGTCCGTGCTAGCAGTGTTTACAGTCGGGCCTCTCGGAGTTCAACAATAATGTCCATGCACTTCACTGCTTATCTCAAATATTGGACGCTTGAGATAAAGGTGGTTACAGCGTGTTTAGTCAGACCTCGCTGCATGTCCGCTGTAGCCGGAGCTTTGTAGCTTTGATCTGTGTGCAGTTGTGGATGACTCTTAACTCGACATGCTTGTTTATGTGATGCAATAGTCAATGTGTTTTTGTTCAGTAGCTGTTGCATAGTTAAACATGGTCCACTCAAACCGAATCAATGTGTCCATAAGTTTATTTTTCTATTGAGCATAAAGAAAGATTTTGTAAACACACATAATTTATTCATGCACTTTAGAATATTTCCTCAAAGGTTACCGACCAAGCTGCTTCACATTGTTATGTACTAAAAATACCTACTGTGTATTTGTAAAGCAATTTAATTTAATAGTTGTAATTAGTATAACTTATGTGGACCATGTGGGTTTAGACATTAAAGTAGTAGTATTATATGCATATAGTAGTAGTAGTAGTAGTATTAAAGTTCAGCTTGTCCTGGTTGTGTCAAACATTAAAGCAGGAGTTTGGGATATATGTAGACACTGTCACCAGATAGCCCTTGTAAACTAGTGTTACTGGAGTCTGACAAGCGTTTGGCCTCATTTCTAATTCAGGGTGGTTGTGCATTCCCTCACTAATCCGCTCAGTGTTGACCACATTATTCTGCTTTATGTTGGAAATGACAGTTTGTCTGCTACTGATATACAGGCCTGTTGGCAACATTATACCAGTCCAGTATTGTGGTTACTGCTTCGTTATATTGACATTACAACAGAGCACTCCCATCTTACAGCAGTGTCAACACATTTGCTCCGTGTAGCTCTGGCTTATGAGGTATTGTGAGTCCTGTAAAACTAAGATTACTTTGCACAACACCTTTGCAGAAAGTTACTGCTCCCTCTTCTTTAGCGTATGCATTTAGACAGACATCCAACAGATACCATCACTTTATTGGTTATGTCTTTACTTGGTTGTTTTGTGAAATCACAGGTCATTTTGTCAGTTTCCATCCCCTCCAACAATCTACCTTCTTACTCATGAATAATATTTCTGATGTTGCTATTTTGAACTTATGTTATCATCTTATTACTTACAAGTAAAGTTTGTATTTAGCTGTTTTTTTTAACAGATTTGCAGAAATGCACAAGGTGTCTATCTTAACACTTAAAGAAGAATTTGGTAGAACATTTGTAGAGTAATTGTGTCGTACACTGACTAGTTTCTGAAACCTGGAGTGATGAATGGTTCAGTTCGGTAGATTTACAGATTTCATCAGATTCTCAGCTGAGTGCAGGAAGAACAAGAAGGCAACAGAGTACGTCACACATAGTTTGTGCTTCGGTTGTTGATGTTGGTGAATGCAGGAATTAATGTCATGGATGTTTTTAGTGCTCGATAATATAAATTTGAGGAGTGATACATGTTGGAAAAATGTTATCTGTTGGGTGGTGATCCCTCTGGGAATTGTTTTTTTCCTATTCTGTGGAGGAATCATAACTTTGTGACACAGTGTCATTAGAACAATGTTTTTATTATAATTACTCATCACTGTGGTTTGGAAAAGTTTAGTTCCCAACAGATTCTGGAAAGCCCGTTGGTACATAGTTTAATTTGTGTGAGGACTGATGGCCTACAATCATGTTTTAAATATTTAGAAACTGAATCAAATAATTCCTGTTAGAAGTTTGTTTGAAGCAGCATTTAACAGATGTATTGGATTGAATGATGCTAATATGGATGTTTACACAGTATGTATGGAAGCCAATAACAACAATCATAACATCTTATTGGAAAATTGACACGCAAGCTAGATGCATCCAACTGTTGTTCACACATTCAGTTCAAACATGGAAGTGTTGATTTAAACTTACAAGTGTGAAAAGAAATCATAACAAATACTGAAAGCCAAAGAAATAATCCCCCATATGCAATCTTAACTGGAGGGGAAATCTTTTTCTCTTAAATATGGAGTTTCTATTATCGTATGTAGTTGCTGAAACATCAGGAAATACACAGCTAACGTCAGCATTTGTGGTAAAATTTAATGTTACCTTGAAAAACTTTGTGCTGCATATCTGCCAGATCTTTTACAGGGCTCAGCCCAAAACTGTGGAGATTTTAATTATTTATCAGGGAGGTTCTTGTTGAATCGCCAGTGTCTCAGGAAAATCATCACGTAGGCATTTTTACCCATCCGCTCTTCTGCCCAGTGCCCACAGAGCAATGCATGATAAAAGCTTATGCTGACAGCACACGGCGATCTGCTGCACGCTGGCTGAGCCATTGTTTTCTAAAGGAGAGCAGTGCCAACTAACCAATCTACCGATCAATAATTGCTGGCTAGGCTGGTTGGGTTCTGTCTAAAAAAAAAAAAGTCTTTAAATACTTATAAAAACAAAAAATAAAAATAAAAAGGTATAAAGTGCATGTATTTTGAGTAAAGACAATCCATGCCAATCAGTTTCCGAAGCACATAACAGGTGATTCACTGTTGGATTTTAATCGCTCTCCACCGAAAAACCATAAAAATGCCACCACGCGGTGGATAGACTGTGGTTTGTGTTTCTTTGTTAAACAGTCCAGATGTCGTAATGACAATTATGAACATGCCCGCAGCCTCAAATGTTGGTCTTATACAGAAAACATAGCAAGATCACTTTCCCAACAGCTGCTCTAAACACAACAAAATCTACATTTGTACAGAAAAGAAATCAGTGGCACCAAAAGTTCCCCCTAAATTTATCAGATGAGTCTTTTTAGGGAGATTGTGTCTGTTTTTCGCCCCCTGCCTTCAGAGATCCATTAGGTTGCATTCATTTTAGTATGGCATGTAATGTCATCTTTTATTTGTTTCAAAGTTGGGCTTAAAGCGGTGGCAGGCAGCAGTGTTGAGGCGTCATTGGGCATATTGTAATTCAAATGGTCTGAGAGAGAACTAGATTTCTGCACCTCCTCTCGGCTCAGTTTACAGGCTTTGGAAAACAGAGCCTGTGACGGGAGACTTTGGCCAATCGTAGGTCATTTCAGAGAGAGGGCTTTCCTGTCGGCTGTTTCTGCAGGGCTACCGACTGTGGGCTTGGTGGAAGGGGCTTGGTGAAGTGGCACAAGCATCCGAGAGAGAGAGGACAGGATTTGCCTCCTGCAGCTTTAACTATTTGTGAATGGTAATGCAGTTGAGAAGAGAGACTGAAAAGCCCTTTGGTGATGAAAAAGCTCTTCAGATGTGTGGGAAAGATGTGTGGTCGTAAATGATCGAAGTACTCGCAGTATATCTTCAAGCACCACTGCCAACATGCCGTCACTGGGATATTTGTAGAATAAATTATGTTTTGTATGCTACAGGGGCACCAGTCTAAACTGTCGCATCAGTGTCTGTGCCTGGCAAATTAACTTGTTTGATCAATACTCTATTAACTACTCTATTATTACATGTTCCAGTGTTTGGTTGAGAAATGTTACTGGTGTGAAGATGCTTTCAGTGAGATAAAAAGGCACAATGCAGCCTAATAAGAAACATATGTTTAGTTTCATGTGTACCATATGTTGTGTGTGTGTTATGCTTTAGGATAATGTAGACACCACATATTCATATATTATATAACACATGTACACACGACTATAAAAATAATCAATATAATTACTACCCAAATACATTTCTTGGCATCAGAGGATTTGTTTAATGTAGTTTGTGGTTGTAATGGATCTGGATTGCCTTGATACCAAGTAATGGATGAATAGCATTTATTTAATTTAAACTTGACACATTTTATTATCAGATAAAAGGTATACAAGGGGAAAAATACTCAACATACAAAATGCACAACAAATGTTTTTGAGTAATTTATTTTGAAGCAGAACAATATTAAATTGAATATTCTTTGTTCCTTTTTATGGTCTGAGGGAAACGTGCATCAATATAATCTAATCAAATCTAAACATATGTGGTTTATATTAAATAAAGCCCTGACCAAAATGCTACTCCTGCTTTATCCTACTTTAACAAAAAAAAGATTTTCTACAATTTTCCCAGCATGTATTGTTTCAGTGGGAAGATATGCAAAAAGCAATATGTTCTTTAAGTCAAATGGATCAAACACTAACTATCACTAACTAAGATGTACATTTCTAGACTTTTTCTGGCATGAAAAATACTTTTAAGTTGTTTAAAAAGGTCTCATATTGTTTGACGTTCTGTAAGTGCCACGGCCTAAATTAAGTGGGTGCTGCAGTTTCTGTGAATATTTTCTAAATGAATCGGCTGTTTCCCTTTTTTTTTGCATTGGTTGCTGGAATGGAATTAGATGTAGACGTCTGTACATATATTGTCATTTTAGAAATGTAGCTTTGCCGTTTTGGGTATCATACTCTGTGTGTGTGTGTGTTGACACTGGGTAGGACATTGTTTTCTTTTCACTCTGAGTTAATGCTGATACTTAATATACTATTTAAAAAGTAAAACTCTTTAAAAAAAACATTTTTAAAAACTGTAATGATCTCTCAGTGTGTTGTACAGTGAACAGTTTAATTGCATATTGTCAGTATATACTGATATAATTAGATCCGTGTTATATCAAATTATATTAGATAATCTTGCTTTTTGTGTTTTCTTTAGTTTATCTTGTGGAGCCGACTTATTTGATTAAACATAAAACACAGTGTACACTTCGTTCACATAGACTATAGCAATGATGAGCCGATGGAAGGTTTTAGCCTTGTGTCTTTTAGACTAACTGAGATGCTAACCTCTGCTAAAATGGGACAAAATATTACATAATAGGAAGATATAGACTTTTTTATAGTGCAGCCTTGTCTCCCTGAAAGTCAGAGAACATTAGCCAAATATCCTGCTTACTGACTGTAACTGAACTCTGATGTTAAAATCAGTGTACAGAAAATGAATCTATTTTAGGAAGCGAAGTGTGTCCTTGCCAGTATTGTATTTCTTTTGTAAATGTATGTGTAATTCTAAAGTTAGGTGACTATGGAAACACATTTCCAGATCTATAAATGGACTAATCAGTCAAGCAAGAGCTGACACAATCTTCAGTCTTCAGTTTAATCAAAGCTGTTTCTCCTCACCGAGAGTAATTTTAATAAATCAGCTTTAAAAAGCTTTTAAATGCATGGCTGACAGATGTTTTTGTATCAGTGTATATAATGGTGCATATAAAACAAATTCTTGTCATTATGTCATGGTTTTGCCCGTTGCATTGTATTATTATCAATATTATAGCCTGGCTGGTACCAATGTTGATATTTGAGAGTTGAGAAAAAAATGCCACATAATGATACAAATGTTATGGTATGACCAAGAAATGTACGGAGGAGATAATTTTACAGATGAAAAATAGATTCTTTCTGGTAGAAAAGTATGTTTTTTTTATTTTTTAAATGACCTCAAACAAACAGTATCATTGTAAGTAACAGTAGAAATGTTGCCTGGGTCAAAACTATTTCTTACATCTTCTCTTGTGAACCCATAGGAGGAATTTATTCTCTTAATCTTATCCTTTTTTCTTTGTCTGCCTTTTTTAGCTGACAACAATCACCGCTTGAATCTCTTCTACCTTGCCAATGATGTGATACAGAACTGCAAAAGAAAGAACGCTATTGTCTTTCGTTCGGCCTTCGCAGAAGTCCTTCCTAATGCTGCTCAGCTCATCAAGTGAGTACACACAGTTTTTATTCAGCTGTAGTATTGGACCAACATTACATATGTTTTTTTTTTTGGTTTTGTTTTTTATCTAAATGGCTGTTATTGGTTAAAAATAAAATATAGACTATGCCTGTCTTCCCTTTCTGTTGGTATTGAGATGTACAATTTTGTGTTGTCATTCTGCTTTATTGTCAGAGATGGGAAGGTCCGCAGATCAGTGGAGAGGATTTTCTTGATTTGGGAGGAGAGGAGTGTGTATCCCGAGGAGGTCATTGCCCAGCTCAAGGCCAGCTTGAACAAAAAGGAAAAAGAGCGAGAAAAGCAGAAGGAGAAAGAAAAGGAGAAAGAAAAAGAAAAAGAGAAGGAAAAGGAAAAAGAAAAAGAAAAGGAGAAAGAAAAGGAGAAAGAAAAAGAGACTCCCCGGGCAAATGGTCAGTTTGATTTTTCTTTTCTTTTTTTCCTCTGCACCGTGAAGTAGTCATGTTAATCAAATCTAAAAGTGAAATAACTTCCCAGTTTGAACCGCATAATAATCAGAATCAGAATCAGAAATACTTTAAATTATTTAAAATGTATTACAATTTACAGCTGCAGCTCTGATTGTATTATTAAGTTCATCTTTTACTTTTATTCTCCAGCCCCAACCAACACCAAAGCTGCCCTCAAGTCCAAGATTGTAGCAGAGTTCACAGTAAGTTTTTACTCGTGTTGTCTTGCATTACTTTGTCTTACATGTTGTTTGAATGTATCTAAGCCATTATCAGTGCTGTAACTCTTTGTCATCTCTGTTTATTTGCACTCTGTTTCTTTTCCAGCCCCACTCTCTCATCGAACAGTTGTCAAGATATAAGCGAGCAGTTGCAGAAGAGGAGTTCAGGGAGAAGCAGCTGGCAGCTCTCAGGGTGGATGTGTGCAGCACGGAGGCTCTTAAGAGACTTAAAGGTCAGATATCACCGAGCTTATTTCTGCATCATCACACGCTTATTGTCCTGTGTACTCCGTCTTGTGGCCTGTGTCCTCGTCATGCCTTGTCAAAACACAGGAGTTTACACACAGTGGAGGTGAATTAGGACTATTTCTGCTAATATTTTTTCACTGGAGAGTAGCTCCAATGAAAACTGGTCACTGTAAGATTTGTGGATTATCCTGATTAAGCGGGATTTTGTTTCTGGAAAGAGACATTGCTGCTGTTTTTTTTGTTTTCTGATGAATGCAAACGCTGTTCAATGTGTAGCATTTTGGAGGATCTATTGACAGAAATGGAACATAATATTCATAGTTATGTTTTTAATCAATTTAATTTAGAAAATAAGAGTCGTTGTGTTTTTGCTACCTCGGAATGAGATGTTTTTATCTACAGAGGGAGCGGTTGTCCGTGTTGCACCGCCATGTTATAGCAGTAGCCCAGGACGGACAAACCAAACACTGACTCTAGATAGGACCTGGGTTTTTGTATCCATCATAGTTACTGCTGTATGCCACTAAATGCTACTCACTGGTCCTTAAACTGTAACTGTGTTACTTTCTTATATTGAACCGTATTAAACTTAAAGAAACCTTGTGTTGAACTTTTTGCTTGTTTGTCCACTGTCTCCTCTATTTCAGACAAGGCAGGAGGGAACAAGTTTGCTAAGGACTTTGAGGACGGCAGTCTGAAGCTGCAGGAGTTTGTCGGCTTCCTGGACAAAGAGTTGAAAACAGGGCCTCCTCTGCTGGAAGCTTTGGGAAACGCAGACATTTTCTACGAGATGCAGTACAAGGAGGTTAAAATTGTGGCCAATGTGAGTGTTAGGTTAAAATCAATTTCGCAAAGACACAAGATCCTTTTGATATTTTGTTTTTGTGGAAAGAAATTGACAATGGTGTTATTTGGTACTTGTTGATTTATGTTAAATGCTACTGTTTCTCTAATTAATAGGAAATTCATCAGGAGAATTGTGAGCCAGACATTTACTGTAAAGACATACCTGTGTTGCTTGTAACGGTGGATACTAGAAAGCAATATAAATGTTACAATAGATACAAGTTAACTGAAACATCCTTTTTTATCTTCCTCATATCTCCCATCTGTTTCCTCTATTCTCTCAGGCGTACAATGCCTTTGCCAACCGTGTGGCCAGTCTTAAAAGGAAATTAGATTCCCTCAAGTCGACTCTACCTGGACCCGAGGACTCTCCCATCCCCTCACCCTCTGAAGACGCCCCCTCTCCCACTGGCTCTGACTCACCCTTCCTGGGACTGGGGACTAGCAGAGCCCAGGTGGATCCAGAGCTGGATGGCAAGGCCATGGATGAAGGAGAAATGCACAGTGACAACAGAGACATGGAAGACATGGATATGTCTGATGAAGAGGCTGATGCTGCCACAGAAGGGGGTTAGTGGCTACAGAGTGTTGTAGTGGGGAAATAATTGTCTTTTCAATATAGATCCATATTAGGCTGCCCAGTTGTAGTGTTGTGATTCATATTTGAAAATGTATCAGCTCTTTGAATTATTTTTACTAGCAGATGACAAGAAAGAGAAGGCGTCCGCTGCTGTTGCCAAGACTACAAAGTCAGACGCAGCATCAAAGCTTCCCACCACACCTACAAAAGCTTCAAAGACCCATTCTACTGCTGCCGCCACGGCCACCCCAGTGACTCCCACCACTGCTACTGCTCAGAGCGCTCCAACAACCCCTCTGGGAGTCAATCTGGAGAAGGTGGACCTGGGAAAGATCAGCTCCATTCTCAGCTCACTCACATCTGCCATGAAGAATACAGGTGTGTTTGGGGGGGAGATGAGTGTAGTAATGAGGGAAACTGTAGCTAAAAGTTTCAGACAAAGAAATGTGTTTGGGGTAGTAGAAGTCCTTGTGACACATAACTGACAAATTATTCAAATATCACTGATGGATTTTCATTGTGTTTGAGCTGCAAGCAACTACAGATGTGTTACCTGTCCCACTCCCACTGTAGCAACGAGGGGTTTGTAATTTTGGCCATAATATGAGACTGTGACTGCTGGCATGACTCATCTTCAGGCATGTCTTTAAATTGTTTGACTCTCCTTTAGTTTGAAATAAGTTACTCAACTATAGAGTAATTATAACCTCTGAGAAAGATATAGATTTGAGTAATTTGAATTGTTTATTGAACAGATCTCGATACAGTAAATATAATAAATTCATGTGTTATTAATGCATTTTATGCCATAAATTAAGTATTGAATTAGCATTTTAGATTCATTTAAAGGTCTAGTGTGTAGGATTTAGTGACATCTATTAGTGTAGTTCCAGATTGAAACAGTGACTCATTGTGT